AACACATTCAAGATCCTCCATCTTTAATGTCTTCCATCCAGCTAAGGCACCTTTGCCTCTCACCCAGATTCACCTACCAACTCACAAACATGCGTGATACCTGGAGCAATCCATACTCCACCTGACATCCAGAAATACTTTTTAAAAATACTGTGATCATATTTAAGCTCTGTTTAAGCCCTTTCTTTGGTTTCCTGTCTCTTTCAGAGTAAAGTCTTAAGTCATTAACATGGTTTACAAAACAAGTCACACTCTTTTCCCTTTTGTTTTCTAATCGGCAATCACACAGGGTTTTTTTTCGGTCCTCAAGTGTTCCTGGCACACATCACATACTCTATTTTCCCCACACAACTGAGCACAAGCTGCTCTCTGACTGTACCCCACTTGCCCTACCTGGCCAAGTTCTATGTATCCTATCGCTACCAAGTATGGTTGTGATGTATAGCTAATACCTAAAAAGCACATAGTCTGCATTATATAGTTGTTACCCATATATGAAGGCATTAGAGAAGCCTTTCTTAGCCTTTCAGTCTATGTTAAATCCCATTATGTATATTCCCATTGAATCAAATATCTTTTCAGATCCTTCAACTGCTTTTCATTCCTTTCTCTATGTCCTCCCTTCACACTCAACCATAAGCTCCAGGAGAGCAAATGCTCTGTGTTTACCACTGAATCTCTAGTGCTGGCAAATAGACGTTCAATGAATATTTGTTAAGTTAATGAAGAAATAAACAATCACTCCAGCTTCAACCATGCATAATTTAGAGGAACTTTCATATGAAAATATTTTATTAGAAACTGAAAAGAATCTAAAACCAAAGATGACTGATGCTGAGAAATCATCTTGAGAGACACTGACCTAAAGATGAAAGTGGAAGAGACCGAAATTACTCCAAAGCAACAAATAGCAGGCAGAAAAAACACACAAAAGCCATTTCTGGCCAGTATCGGTGGCTTAGCACCTGAAATTTCAGCTCTTTGAAAGGCCATAGAAGGAGAATTCCTTGAGCCCAGGAATTCAAGACCAACCTGGGCAACTTAGTGAAACCCCTGTGTCTATAAAAAATAGCCAGCTGTGGTGGTGCATTGCTGTAGTCCCAGACACTCACTACATTAAGGCCAGAGGATTGCTTGAGCCTTGGAGTTTGAGGTTGCAGTGAGCTGGGATCCCGCCACAGTACTCCATCCTGGGTGACAGAGTGAGACTCTGTCTCAAAAAAAAAAAAAAAAAAAAGCCACTTCCATGGAAATACTAAGATGTATTTTATGGGCTGGGAGATAAACAAGAAAAAAAATTATTATGAGAAAAGTTATAGAAGAAAGGAGTGGGAAAGTGTGCCTGAGGCCCAGGGAGAACATTTCATGGAGATTTCATGGAGGAGTAACTACAACCCTTTGCTAAAACATAGCAATGTAGAATAGGAACTGGAATCCCCTGTAATTTGAGTGATCCTATGCCTGTGAAATATGGTGATGTGGCAGGGGAATTAACGCATCCTACAAGCAGTCCTTAATTGACAACTGTTGGATATGTTAGAAATGTGTGTGTGTGTGTGTGTGTGTGTGTGTGTGTGTGTGTGTGTGTGTGTGTGTTGAGACTGAGTCTCACTTTGTTGCCCAGGCTGGAGTGCAATGGTATGATCTTGGCTTACTGAAATCTCCACCTCCCAAGTTCAAGCAATTCTTTTGCCTCGGCCCCAAAAGTAGCTGGGACTACAGGAGCGCGCCACCATGCCCTGCTAATTTTTCTATTTTTGTAGAGACGGGATTTCACTATCTTGGTCAGGATGGTCTCGATCTCTTGACATCATGAACCACCCACCTTTGCCTCCCAAAATGCTGGGATTATAGGTGTGAGCCACCACACCCAGCCAAAATTTTGTGTTTTATGTGTATGTTCACTGCCGTACTATTCACAATAACAGAGACATGGAATCAACATAGATGCCCATCAATGGTAGACTAGATAAAGGAAATGTGATAATATATCCTAAGGAATACTGTGCAGCCACAAAAAAGGAACAAGATCAGGTCCTTTGCAGAAACATAAGTGGAACTGGGGGCCATTATCCTAAGTGAACTAATGCAGGAACAGCAAAATAAATACCGCATACTCTTACTTATATGTCGGAGCTAAAAACTGAATACACATGGACACAAAGGAACAACAACTCTGGGGCCTACTTGAGGGTGAAGGGTGGGAAGAAGGTGATGATAAAAAAACTACATGTCAGATACTATGCTTATTACCTGGATGACAAAATAATCTGTACACCAAACCCCCATGACAGGCAATTTACCTATATAACAAACCAGCACATGGACCCCTGAAACTAAAAGTTAAAAAAAAGAATTGTGTATTTGATACAGGCTCCCAAAGTTTTACTCTCTGTACTGGGATGAAGCTCCAGTTGGCAATAGCAGGGACCAGATTGATCACGAATGTTTACAGGTTGTCTTCCCTTCCCTGCCATGCTTTCCAATTCTCCTATCAGTCTTTCCTTCACCTAACCCTTGGTCCCGGATCTGATCTCCTATAGTATTTTCCTATAAAAAGCTCTAACGCCTGAAGCAATTTTCATTGCAAAGCAAGTAATTGGTGTTCTGGTTTATATGAGTTTGGTTCAGTCTTTTACAAGTTTGGGTCATGGAAGTCCCATCCCCTAGGGCACAGGTAACTGGGTGTAGATGAGTCAAGAACTGGTCAAACAAGACCACTTCCTCAGATGTTATCTCACATTCCCAGGAATATTTGGTCTCATCTAACAGGCAGATAGATAGATCTGTTTTCATCTTTGATTTTTCTCTCCAAAGTTGGAGAAAGAGAGATTTACAGAGAGGAAAATATGTAATTTAATGCCAATAGAGATGTAATACATTTCTGCACTATCAACCATTTCAACCAAGTCACCAAAGAAGGTAGGCAAGGAAACCCAGGGGAGGTTGACCATGCAAGTCAGAAAAAATGACAATAAGGTCGGGTACAGTGGCTCAGGCCTGTAATCCCATCACTTTGGGAGGCTGAGGAGGGTGGATCATTTGAGGTGAGAAGTTCGAGACCAGCCTATTCAACATGGTGATACTCTGCCTCTACTAAAAACACAAAAAATAGCCAGGTGTGGTGGCACACACCTGTAATCCCAGCTACTTGGGAAGCTGAGGTGCAAGAATAGCTTGAACCCAGGAGGCAGAGGTTACAGTGAACCAAGATCACACCACTGCACTCCAGCCTGGGTGACAGAGTTAGACCCTGTCTCAAACAAAACAAAACAAAACAGAACAAAGAAAAAAGAAAAAGAAAAAACGACAATGATAACAGGAGAAGAGACATGTCGATGGCACTTTCTAGGGGCCAGGCAAGGTTTTCATACATGTATAGGTATATGTACATATACATACATACATACTGCTGTGAGAATTAAATGAGTTAATTAACAAACAAAAAGAGTAAAATCTACATAGCTATTTCTGGTAACTACTACCAATCAAAGGAGATTTAACCTAAGAATAATATTGACATATTGTGAAAACACTTTGGTGTCACTCTGGGGAAAACTGTGGCATAAGGAACAATCTGTGGACTGAATATCAGGGCTGAAATTCTTGGTTGGCTATATTTTAGTTATGGGGTGTTAACTTTTCCAACCTCACTCAATTTTCCATTTATGAAAGAAAAAAAGTAGAAACAATCTCTTAGAGTGGCTGCCATGAAAATGGCATAAGATCACCCAGCACAACAGATATTTTAAAAATATATGCCTGGTGTTCCATTATTGGATGCTAAGCATGTGGGGGTTATTCATATCCTACTTCTCAAGGTCATCACCAAGGTCTGATTGCAAAAATTCAAAAAAATTCTAACCTTAGGCATCAATGGATTAAATGTGCTTGTCCTCTCAACTTACAGAGAAAGGAAAAAAGAAAGTATTTTTTGTTAGGTTGCAAATTGTGTATTTTATACAGGCTCCTCTTACCATTGGTTAGAGAGATAACAGCCAAATGATTGATTATTGATATGGATTGATAATATATATAACGGAAAATAGATAATAGGTGATAGATAGATAGATAGATACATATGATGTATGGTGCCTCAGCCTTCCATTAAGACACATATTCTACTACTCATTAGTTATTTTTCCTAATCCTCTTCCTCCTCCCACCCTCCACCCTCCAATAGAATGTAAGTAATAAGCCTATACATGTACCCCTGAACTTAAAAGACACACATTCTGTTTGTTTCCCCCAATAATACTGCTCAATGCCTCAAAATAATTATTTTGAAAAGATATAATTATTTTCTTGTAATGTGATTCCATGTCCATATCACTTCATTTATACTGGAAATACAGAAACGTCTGTAATTCAAATGCATCAACCTCAGCAGTATGAATTTTTTCAAGAATACAATAATAATGTTGACCCACATTCCGGGCCATGGAGGTGCTCAGGTCCGCATTCTACTCCTGGGACTCTCATTTTTGTGCATTGCCTCTGCTCACTATCCTCTGTCTGCCTCGTTCTTTCCCTGGACAGTTTATCAATTCCAGGAAGCTCTTGTTTGGGTACGAGAGCCATTATGGAATCTGAGTGTAAACCTCTTGTGATTTTAAATGTAATCCTGCTGCCTTTTTTTAAGTTTGTGGGTGATATTATACTTTCTCCTACCAGTGTTTATAAATAAAGTAATGAAAAATCATGTTAAAATGCTGACTCACTACAAAACCTTTCACACTCATAAAGTATCCTAGTATTTAGATTCGATGATCTCTTATTGATAGTGTACTGTGTACTTTCACATGCCTGCTAAACCAAGAGTTCAGGGAAATAAAGGTCATTACAAACCTAATTGTATATTGCTTTCAGGTTCGATGATACATTGCTTTCTGTTTATCTTATTTTTAACAGCAATCGAAAAAGGAAGAGTCAGTAGAATAAGAAAGGCAGGTAAAGCAAGTTGCATGCAGGTAGCATACAGCTATGAGAAATGCTACTACCTCCGCAGACCACACCATCTAGGTCTTCACAGCGGCGATCATCACACTCACAAGTCTTGCCATACACACGATGATCTCCCGGAGGGTAGCAGGTGCATTGGCCACATTCACATTTACCTGAAAAGTAAAAAGAAAGTGCACACTTATGAGGAGAGTCAAAGAATCCCTAAAGGTTTCACGGAGGCGAGCACACTATTAAACCCAAATCTCCTACAACAGTTCTAGTCTGTGCCTGATAATAGTTACACAGATACACATTTCCAACCTCCCTAAGGTAAGCTAAAATTTAAGCATAAATACCATGGTGGTCTGGAGTGGAAGTGGCATTCGCTGGCTCAGAAGTCATTCACAGTTGCTATTCTCTAGTTTTTGTTTCATTCATTTTTGAATAAATCCATTATAAAATCCATTATAAAACTCTCTGGCTATTTCATATTCAACTTAGCTTGATGGTTGATTCTTTGAACATAGTTTAATACATTATGTATACATATTGACATAATTTAGCAGAATGTGGTCATTTAAAAATACTTTAATCTTCGGTCTATCTTCTCCATGAGAAACAAAATGTTCATAGGTATATTTCAATATGCTATTTTACTGATGTTTTTGTAGTCAATTTTATAGTTCCTGTAACTCATTTTAGCATGGAACATACATCAAAGTACATAACCTAAATATCTTTATTATCCTTGTCTTAAAAATATAAATATTTTTTGGAATGAATTTGGTTCTTAGTTTTTGAACCCCTTAACTAGTCCCATTATGCCGAGTTTCATCATGATGTCGTGAGCAGTAACTATGTGTCAAACACTGTAATTCCCTGCATGCCATCATTTCATTTTCAAATACTGCATATTGACTGGAACATTGCAACCATTTTACTAAACAGGAAACTGAGACACATTAAGGCCAAGTGACTTTTTGATGGTGAACCAGCTAGGAAGAAATAGATTCAAAATTGACATTCATTCTCATTAGCCTCAAAATTTGTGCAACTAACCATTAAACCACATTGCATCTTAATATATGTGTAATGCAGCATCAGAAGGCTCTATGAGAAAGTAACTTTCTTTTGTTTGAGGAATCACTACTGGCTTGCCAGAAATTCACTTGGGTGACAGTGCTCCGAGACATCTGTTACTCTCTGTCATTAGCCCAACCATCATAATTACACACCCACTGAAATAATCACAAGACGCTTCAGGGCTGACCTTGCAATGTTGTTAGTCACTCTGTTGCTGAACTTGTATCTTGTTAAAGAAATTCTGAGTTGGTGGATGATGGGGGAAAGAAAAATTAGTATTTAGGATTATATAATCTCAGAGCTGTAATTCAAGATAATCTAATGCAATGATTCATAATATTTTCTGGCTGACATGATGGGGTCATGATCCCTTTGAGAACCTGGTGAAAGATACAGCAATACAGTGTTGTGGTGGCTGCCTTTCAACTAATCTCTCTACTTGGAGATAGTCCCAAGTTCAGCAAGGGACAGAGGCTTCCCTCCTTCAATGATATTCCCTCTTCCTGTACCCGGGCAGCTAGAACAGGGACACATCAGACACCCTTGGTCAGGGCTTTGATTCTTGAGGGTGAAAGCAAAGGCACAGCACCTGTGGGCAGCGCGGCAGTGCAACAGCATAGCAATGTCTGGGAGCTGTGAAACTCAGCATGCAGTGGCTGACATTCAGAAGTGATGGCAGCAGGAACTGGTTCTTGGCAGTGCCCTGCTTCCCCAGGTTGCTGCAGAAGCTAATTGTTCAAAGTTTCATTCTGAGCCTAAAGCCTTCTAATAAAATCTTTTTTTACCCCATTTAATGTAGTTGGTTTCTGTTGTTTGCAATCAAGAACCCTAACTGACAAAATTCAAATCTATCCCTGGAAAAATATACCAATACATATTTCTTTTGGTAAAATGTCAGAAAGATCCATAACTTCCCTCAATTTATTTAATAGATGAGGAAACTCAGGCATGCTGGGGCTAAATGATTTGCCCAAGGCTAGCTAGCTATTAGAAGTGTTAGTTTTAGTATCTAGATTTTCTGAACTCCAGTCACCTTCTGACATGCATAAATGCTCTAATCTTTTTCATGGGTGGATGTGCAAATGATTCCAATAATTCAGGCTGTGGGGGAAAAGAGCCAAATTGTGGTACCATCAGCAGTGTAATCTGGTTATGGTGAGCTGTTCCTTCACAGACAGATGTGGGAAACCATGATCATCAGTTGCATTATTCCTGAGAGGCAATGCATTCCAGTTACATAGACAGAATCAGATTATACATTTCAGGGAATACGTATTTATGATGACACATTTATTCACATTTTGAGGCATATAGTAATTTTCCTGAATACACATTATTGGCTTCTGTGCTTCTTCAGAAAAGATGAACTAAACATTGGCATATGTGTTCAGATTTCAACATTCCATTGTTTTCATTGTGGATAATTTCTGCTCTATATTTTTGTACAAAGTTAGATAATAAAGTGTTAATATTCTGGGGTAGGCACATTTTCTTTCCTGACAGATTACAATCTACATGTCTTTTTTAAATATCAGAGACTATATTAACCAATTTCCAATTCTTTTTTTGCAAGGTATCTATTGGAGTTTTAAAATGACTAAGATTAAGACAACTATGAGCTGAATTAACTTTTTGCATACAATTCTAATACTGTTTATAAGATACGATGGCTTCTGACAAAAATCAAAAGTAGTGCATTAGGATGGGCAGAAAAAAACAGAATTAGACATACTATTTAGTAGCAAAATAGGGTGACTACATTCAATAATAACTGAATTGCATATGCTTAAAGAACTTAAAAAGTGTAACTGAATTATCTGTAACTCAAAAGGATAAATGCTTGAGGGGATAAATAACCCATTCTCCATGGTGTGCTTATTTCACATTGCATGTCTATATCAAAATATCTCATGTCCCCCACAAATATATACACCTACTACATACCCATAAACATTTTTAAAAATTTAAAAATTAAAATATAATGCATTAGGAAAGGCATTATTGCAGACAGAGAGGTAAAAAAGAGTACATTTTGCATGCACTCCATATTTTAAAGTATATTATTTTGCTGCCTCAGTTCACAACTTCTATGTAGTCACTACCACAAGTCACTACTAATTTTGTTTCAGTCACTATCATATACCTGTCAGGTAAATTTCCAATCATTCTTCAAGGTTCAAAGAAAACTTCACCAAATCTGTGACACTGGCACCCTCCTACTCACAAACCTTCACAAATACAGCAGAATTAACTATGCTTCTTATATGTCCTCATAATAGTTTTTTTGTAGGGATGGAGGGCAGTCTCGCTCTGTCACCTAGGCTAGAGTAGAGGGAATGAAGCAGTGCAATCTTGGCTCACTGCAACCTCCATCTCTTGGGTTCAAGTAATTTTCATGGCTCAGCCTCTTGAGTAGCTGGGATTACAAGCATGCACCACCATACCCAGCTGATTTTTTTTGTATTTTTAATAGAGATAGGGTTATGCCATGTTGGCTAGGCTTGCTTCGAACTCCTGGCCTCTAGCAGTCTGCCTGCCTTGGCCTCCCAAAGTGCTGGGATCACAGGTGTAAGCCGCCTCGGCCAGCCACTATGTTTTGAATCGATATTTATTGAACAGGTGTATTAAACAATAATCGCATATAAACACTTTAGAAATATTCTCACGATACATGAGCATTAATGGTAGAACTTGAATTTGAAACAGTGTATCTCTCCCAGACTAGATATTCATTTCCAATTACCTGAATACCTTAATTTGTGTTTTCCATGGTTAGATCAATTAAATATGTCCCATGGCAAATTCATCACCTGTATTCACAAACCTACTCCTCTTCTTGGGTCTTTTGTGAAATTTCACATAACTAACTTTCTTAAAACATATATATAATTGTGTGATTCTCTTGCACAAATCCCTCTGATAGCCCCATCTAACCTTCAAAGCAAAGACTGGATTCCTTAATAGAGTTGTCCACACATGGTCCAATTTACCTTTTCAAGCATATATCCAGCAATTATTGTACAATCACATTCAGAGACTTCATGTTCCCTATTTCTTCCCTCCGTGATGCACACCACCATTTTCTCTGTAAAGTCCTACTCAGTGTTCAATAACTAGCCCAAATCTAATCTCTTTTCTGAAACCTTCCTTGCCATCCCTGTTTGGTTACCTGGAACAATTACCACCTCTCTGACCCCACAACCCTTTGTCTATATCCCTAGTAGCCCCCATGAATGCCACCAAGACATTTTAAATGTTAGTGCCTCCCTAATGGTAGGTGATAAAGTCCTAGGTCCGACTAACAGTGAGATTGGTATTGTTAGCAGCCTCGCTTCCTGATGTAGTAGATGCTGCTAACGTACAGGTTTTTGTTGCTTGCTTCCGTCGAATTGCGTGTTTTTAAATTTGTTCTCCGGATGATTAGTCTTCCGTGCTGTTTTAAGTTATGGGATATAACTTTGGTTCTCAAATAACGACTCCCTTATTCTTATACATGAGAAAGCGAAAATGGGCCCTCTCTTTCAAGCTGGCTTTTCTTTCTTCGCAAATAAAAACGCAAATCTAAACGAAGACCTCCCAAAGAAACAAAGCAGTAAGAATTTGCAGGAAGACAATTCTGAACAGACAGCCGGCGCATAGATACCGTGGAAGACATCATTGCCAGCTTAATATCAAAAGAATCCAAATTATCTGCCCTTTTCTCCTGGCGTTTATCTCCGAAACCTCAGTCGCTCATTGCCTACTCGGCCTCTCCGCTCTTGTCTTAACTGTTACCCGTTATAATCTCCAGAGCTGCCTAATCTTCGTCCACATCCACGTTCATGACCTAGAGGATCGCTCTTCTTGATACATATCGAACGGCAATTTTTCTCTTCTCTGTCCCCCTCATTTTAAGCTATCAAGAAGACTAATGATCTAGGCAGATTTTCAGAAGATCTGATCTCCCGATAATGATTTACTTGACAGTTAAACAGTTCTCCCCTAGTCTTGTGTAACACATTCGAAACATCCTCGCATTATTTAGTTAAGCCAAGCCCATTTCTCTCTCTATGTACAGCTAATTATTTTGATAAAAACTCATTTAATTTAA